ATATTTTCAACCCATTTCCCTTTCTTTAACCCCTCTTCTGGCTTCCCGCAGTGGTCCCACCCCCTCCCCTTATTTCTGCTCTTCTAATTCTAATTCTTGGCACTGCTCCTTTATCTTCAGAATGAGGAATATCCTACCAATTGTTATCCAGTCTTCTACTGCTTTGGAATGGAGCACATCATTATGTTTTTGCACCAATCATAGATGAAGACTTGTCAACTTTTTAAGTAGATAGCTATGGGCTTCTTCCCTTCCAGGCACTGTCCAGTTTTTCCCTGTCTTCAATTGTTTTAGCAGGCTTTCCAAGGTTATTGTAAGATTTTCCATTTGCTTTCCTATCAGTTTCTTTTCCACACCTGTTATCCAGGTAGTTTTTTTGTTGTATTTTTTCAAGTCTTCCCAGGGTTCTTTCCAGAAGGTCTTTTCTTTGTCTGGTTTTACTTCTACTTTCTCTAGTGATCTGTAGAACTGTCTTTGTTTTAGTCAGTCTTTGGTTAGTGATTTGTAGAACTGTCTTTATGTTGTCGAAGGCTTTCACGGCTGGAGTTCTTTAGTTATTGTAGATTTTCCAGGCTGTATCGCCATGGTCTTGGCATTGTAATACCTGAAGTTTCGCCAACACCTGTGAATGGGAGCTTTGGATGTATTCTTAAACTGAGGAAGGAGATTGGGGATTGGAGAGAGGGGTACAACTATTGTATCAGTCAGTTTAGGAAAGAAACCTATGTTCATAGGGACCATATCATTCCATTCTTAGTCCATCTGCACTCCTATTTGTTCCCTATTTGTTTCTGGGCCTGATTCAAGATACTTGTGCTGACATTTAAAGCTCTATACAGTACCAACCACCTACTCCCATATGAACCTATAATTTTCTCAGGCCCAGCCTCTGGTGCTCCCGCATTCTGAGTTTAGACAGGTAGCAGCCCAAGAGAGGTCCTTCTCAAATGTGGCACCAAAACTGTGGAACTCCCTCTCCTAGGATATTCATCTGTCCCCCACTGTCACTGTCTTTCACCAGTGGGTGAAAACTTTTTTGTTTCATTCCTCAGTGGTCTCACCTTCCTGCTCTACATTTTAATTGTAGGTTTTTAACATGATTTATGTTTAGTTCTAACTGATTTTATGATGCATTTTATAATGTTCTTCTTTAAATTGTTAGATGCCTTGGTGGTCCTGTTTGGACCAAAAGGTGGGATATGAATTTTATAAGCAAGAAACAGTCACACAGAGTAGCATTTTTATATTGGGTTTTCACAAACATTGTTGATAAGTCCATTGGAAAGCCTCAATGCATTCTTCACAGTTAAGTCCTTAGTGCAGACAGCAAGAAATCCAGCAAACTAAAGGCCCACTTTGAAGAGTCATGAAGAGCTGGCAGGAGAAAAGTATTGAATTCTGTATAAAAAGGAGAAGATTCAGAAATCTTCCCATGTAGATTTAACTGAACACTTTACTTGGCAAATGAAACTGTTCTTATAGCCCCCTACTGTCCGTGTTGCAGCATGTAATGAGTCCCATACTTACAAGAAGTCCCATGAAGACTTTGTCAAGTCATGTTGAATAGATGTAGCAAGACTTGACCTTGGGGAGCAAAAAATGAGGAAAGTGGATATGACCTCAGTTTCAAATGACATGGTAAGAAGGTGAATCTTTCTGATATTCAAAGACATTTTGGATTGAATAGAAAGCACTCAAATGAGAACCCAAGTGGTGTCGTGGTTAGAGTGTTGAACTAGGGTCTGGGAGACATGCCTTCGAATCCCTGCTCTGCCAAGAAAGCTTCCTGGGTGGCCTTGGGACAGTCTCACAGTCTCATCATGACCTATTCACAGGTTTGCTGTGAGGATAAAATGGAAGAGTGAAGAAGAATGTAAGCCACTTTGGATCCCCATTGGGGAGAAAGGGGGGGGTACAGATGGAGTAAATAAATAAAAATAATAAATGTGTCTGTCGGATTAATCAACAGAAAATTACTTATATATGCTTAGTACTTGAAATGTGACTTTGTGAAAAAAGGACTTTCTGTTCCTTGAGTCACTGGGTTGGATCCAAACTAAATTTGGAATTTCCAACAATTCCCCTTTCCTACTTCAACAATTCCCCAGTCATTCTTTGGGGTCCTCAATCCTGCAGGAGCAATGTTTCATGAAGGTCAGTGGGCTATAGTGGGAAAGAGGATGCAGGAAAGTTCCATTCTTCTATTGGGAAATTTAGTCTGGATCTAACTCACTGACCACCTATTTTCAGAGATTATGTTTTAAGGATGCTGGAGAATTTCAGATCCTTGTGGATGAAAATATGCATTGCTGGGGCAGCACTGATAATGGGCCTTTCTTCTGGCTTTCATGTGGTCTTGATGCAGATCGCCTTGCACGCTTCATCAATATGCTTTGATTGTGAAGATACTTTCCCCTGGTCTCCTTGATGTCTTGTCTGAGGTTGTTAAACTTGTTAATCGTATTTGAAACTGTGCCACAAACTGCAGGATTTTCAGAATATTGTGTTGAAAGCGTTTATGGCCAAATTCAGTGTACTTCTGCTTTATACAGACAATTCAGTGGTTATCAAAGGGGAAAATCTTAAACCATGTGGTAGAATTGAATGGAAAAAAATCACCATGTTCCTGGAAGGGGGAAGAACGGCGAAATAGTGACAACTTTATATGAAGACAACAACAGACCTTGTATTCATTCAAACCTGGTCTATCTTACAGACTTTTTTCACAGCAATCAATTAGCTCACTACAAGGAAATCTGATAAATATATTCAAAACTTGTCAACGTTGTCAGCTACCTTTGCAAACTCCAGCTTCACCAGTGTACAGTTCACACCGATGATGTCTCCATGACCTAAGAACTGAGAATACCAGCTCTTATTCATGACCTGTTCTTGCTCGGATAAAGCCTATCAAGAATAGACAATTTTAGCTATCCCATTGATACCTCCACCTACATTTTTATGTGTTTGAGCATAAGAATTATTCAGCTGTAAGCTATGTTATTTTATTAGGCAATGGTTTAAATAAAGTATGAAAATAAAATATGATTTTGTTATTGTTTCCTGATTTTCATTTCTTCATGTTTGCTATTTATAAAGCTTAGGGGGTAATTTCAGTTTTGTTGGCTGGCTCAAAGGATTATAGTGCCAAAAAGCTTAAGAACCACTGCTGGAAGGCATCTCTGGCAGAATCCCATTTGAGTTTTTCTTGGTAACCTCCAAGGAAATAGATTCCACATCCTCTTTAGGCAGGTTGCCCCTTTGCTGATCTGATAGGACATGCTCCACAATTCAACTTAAAATGATTCTTTGTTGGGTTTGCTTCTACAGACTAACATGACTGCTCTTCTGAAATTTATCTCTCCTGCTCTGACTTGGTATAAAATATCTAAACCTGACAACATGTTCCTTTTTTCATGAATCCTCTCCAATTTGTCCACCTTCTTTGTGTAGCTCATCTCTCCAAACTGAAACAATTGTTCCTTTTTAAGATCTGTCCAGTACAGCCTGGAGATTTGAAAGAGGCTTCCCTTAATTGATTATAATACTTAGTAATTATAATAGTGCATATATTATCAGGAATCCTTATAACCTTGTAATGTAATTCCTTGCTATGGTCTCTTTTGGACTGTACTACCTGATGTGTCCTTTCCTTGGTGCATTGTTCAGGCTAGCAGAGATCAACACAAAGGCTGTAACGTTCTCACAGTAATTTGAGAACCATATGAAGCTGCTCTATACTCAAATCAGAGTCATAGGCAGTATTGTGTAGTCAGATTGGCAGTGGCTCTCCAGGATCTCAGGCACAGGTCTACTGCCATATCTTTTAAACCAAAGGTGCCTGGGATTGAACCTGGGACCTTCTGCATGCCAAACAGAGGCTCTACCACTGGGTCACAGCCCTGTAGGCAGCCTTAAATTTCCTTCTGTTATAAGAACTGAACAGTTGAGCTGTCTAACAGTTCAAACCTATGCAGAGTTACTCCAGCCTAAGCCCATTGGTTTCAAGCTCAGACTGGAATAACTCTGCATAGGTTTGCGGAGGAGGAGGAGGAGGAGGAGGAGTAGAAGAAGAGATTGGATTCATACCTCACCCTTCACTTGGAGTCTCAGAGCCGTTTACAGGCTCCTTTCCTTTCCCCTCCCCACAACAGACACCCTATAAGGTAGGTGGGGCTGAGAGAGCTCTTTCAAGAACTGCTTTTTCAAGAACAGCACTGACAGAAGAACTAAGTCTTGCCCAAGGTCACATCAGAAGGTGCAAATGGAGGAGTGGGGAATCAAACCCGGTTCTCCCAGATTAGAGTCTGTGCACTTAACGACTACAACAAACTGGCTCTAAACCCCTTCTTGCTTATCAAGCCACCTTTCCCATCACCTGCTACCTGAGATTCTTGAACTGGAGGTGGCAGGGATTCTATGTGCTGTCTGACTGAGCCCCAGACCCTTCCTCTTAAGGTGGGCATAGCATGACGGAGACATCCTGGGTCCATTCTTTGCCCATCTCCCATTCCTGAAGGCTTCCAGCACAATGATATCTCCATCTGATCCATATCCCCAGAGTCCACATCCACGATGGTCTCGTGTGAAATAAATGGATGCTTAGTGCAAATCATTCAATTCTCTGCCAAAAAATGTTTTGTTCTAATTCTCTCTAAGAACAATGACTTCTAATGGCAGTGCAAAGGTTCACACTGGAGTGAGTGTGCATTGGGTTACACAGTGAGCTGATTTGAGGGGGAAGTTTCATACATGTTTTCAGAAAACTGGAATACTTCTACAGCATGTTACCCAAAGTGCTAATTATTTTCTGTATTTAGAAGCTAGTATCATTGATTTCAGTGAACCACATAAGTGATAAAAATTGCAGCCTAAGAGTATCCTGAAGTCTGACATTTTGTAGTAGAATTAAAATGTAGTGTAAATGTTATTCTGATAAGTACAATGTTTTCTACACATAAAAAGTCCAAAAGTCAAAGTGCACTCTGTTTTATTTCAAGGGAACACGATAAAGATCCGGAGAGTTTCTTTAAAGTTCTGCTGAAAATGAAACAGATGGAGCTAAATTTTCATGTTTCTGTCCTTGGAGAGACCTTTACTCATGTTCCAGGTATTTTTTACATTCTCTGTCATAACAGACAGATTTTTAATTTATTTCCTTTGAAAACAGTATACGTTAATGAAGCAGTTACAATATCTGGTAAATAAAATATCAGTCTATAAAAAGTGGGCAGGTTTCTTTATTTTTAAGCTGAGAGCTTAAATGTTTGTGTTCCATGCATGCATGTAAAATATGGGATATAGTTGGTCCTTAGATCCCAATAGCTGCTACTGCATACCTATCTGCACCTTATACCCAAATCCTATTTTTACTGATCTGTTCCTTCCTAATAATACTGTGATCTTCAGGATATTATCATGAGCTTTTCTTGGCTACCTGTATCACCTTCTTTTCTTCTTGTCTTTAGCTCTTGTGTTTATTTTTAGTGGCAGAAGTACATTTTACGAAAGAAATAGTTGGAAGAGACATTCCACTTCCATCTGCTGCAGCAGGAAAGTATTGCCCCATTCAAAACATTGCTCTAGGCTGTAACCTAATATAATTTAGAAGTAAGGCCTTCCATATGGCCATATTCCAGATATTTATTTATTGAGTTCGTAACCTACTCCATTCCCAAGGCTTGGCATATGTAACGTTATCTTACGTATACACACACACATATTAAAAACAAAATAAATAAATTTAGCAAATATTATAATTCATACTAGCAATTTCTAACCACTAAAAGCCGCCAAAAATGTAAAGTTTAAGCCTGCTTCTGGATGCTGCTCAGACTTTGACTAGCCTTCAACAGGAAGGAGAAGGTCTAACCACCAGGAATGCTCTCTGTGAACTAACTTCGTAAACAGATAGCAAACATAAGAGAGTTCTTTTGGTTGATCTTAGAGAGCTTGATGGTTCCAGCCAGAGGCGTTTTCTCTGATATATAGGACCTAAGCTGTTCATGTTTTAAATATGTTATTAAGTAACTTTGGGTCTCAAAGATAACAGGAGCCATTCCAGATGATAGAGCACTGGTGTAATGTGCTCTTAGTAACAGGAGTCTGTTACTGTCAGGGACACACAAGGAAATGTAGGACAGCTGTTTACCAAGTGGTATCGAAGGTACAGAGCCAAGGCTTGGACCCTGTGCCTTGTTTCCACTTACACTGCTCTTTGTCCACTGCAAAGGTGGTCCTCTGCTGTGGAGTTCGTGTTTCCTCCAGCACTAGGCACTTCTGGTCATGCAAGACCAATATCTTTCAAGGAGCCTAAAAGTGGGTAGCACGAGAGGAACATGCCTCACAGCAGACAACTGTCTCCACAACAGGCAAAGAGGAGCATGAGATGAGTCAAGGTATAGAATCCAAGCGTAAATTGGGAACCAGTCACATGTAGCATCTGTCCATGTGGTGAGGAAGATTTTAGCATAAACCAGCACACAGTCAGAAATACAAGGAGCCGAAGTAAAATTTTCCTGAGCACACATTTTAATGGGTGCTAATCCACAGGTCACTAGTAGAGATGCTGTTTTTTTTTCAAGCAGCTTGTAGAATTCATCATGAAATTTTATGTACAGATTTTAAATTTTAGAGATTTCCAACTATTGGTAATTAGACTAGACCAGCAAATGTGATCTTGGAAAATGTTGGAAGGAATGTAGTCACTTCTCCAACAAAATGTCAGGCACCAAGAACATACATCCCATCTCATTCTGCTAAATTCAAAGCTGGATGCATTCTGTATGCAAAGTTGATTTTAGAGGAAATTGCTACTCTGCCTTCTCCCAATTAATGTCTGCTGCAGTACAAATGTCTTCAATGGGGGCCATTTGCGGGAATCCCAGTTCAGACACCTCACCACCTCTTATGGCAACCTAAATTTACTTCCCTAAAACCTTCTCATCAGCCCCTCCCAGTTCCTACTCTTCTATAATTATGGGCCAAAGCAATCTCATGACTAAATAAAGTGCCAGGGGTACTTGAGATGAAAGGTTATTGGTTGCACTGACTAGAATTACAAGTGTATCAATGGAGGCACAACTGAGTCACTTTTTGGACTTGGGTATGATTTGCAGTGACAAAGTACACATACCATACATCTCAGTTTGAACTCAACATATGTGTTGGTAACAACTTACCTTTTTAACCATGTGGTGTGTGATCTGGAAAGGATTTGGTCTCAACTCCCAGCTTCTGTATGTTGTAGGAAGTTGATCAGCTAAAACCACACATGCTGTACAATTGACAGCAGCAATTAATATATTTTGTAGTTGGGAACTATAGCAAAATTCCCAAAAGCATTATTTGAAGCACCCCTAAGTTGTGTAATGACCTGATGATATCCATCTGAATTCTGCTGTGATACTGTTAGATAGCACTCTAACAAAATAATTGAAACATCTAGTCAGGATATTACAGTATGGTAGCCCATAGCCAATACACAATGATGGGCATTTGGAGGGTAATGTTCTTTTGGTTCAATAAGTAAGATATTACACCTTGGCTGAAAATCTGTACCAACTTTTATACCATGGGTAAAAGAGTCTTTCATATTTACAGTATCATTAAATTAGCCCTGTTTAAAGTTCTAACCATTTGTTTATTACAGCAAGGGACTTGTAACATATTAATCTACTTTTTAACATATGGACCTATGAAGCTGTGAAGGTTCTCTAGCTGCTCATAAGACCCAATGCTATATACCCATGGTTTTGATGAGAAGAGTCTGTTGAAGACACTGTTGACCCAGTAGAACTCTAGTCACACAGTTATTTTATTTAAAATATTTAAACCCTGCTTCTCCTGCTTAGCTCTAGGTGGCTTACAAACTTGACATTGAGGCCAAGAAACAGAGTTTATAACACAATACTAAACTATTGTAGTACTAAACTACAATATAGAACCATAAGCTCTTAAAACACGGTTGTTGACCAAAGGAAAGAATTGGTGCAAAGAAGCCAGTTTCTACAGAGGTTGATGTAGGAGAAGGTGGTCCTCCATATATATAGGTTCCAGGTCATAAATGGCTTTAAAAGTAGGAACCAGCCCGTTGAATTGAATCCAGAAGCAAATTAGTAATGAGTGCCACTAGTTTTAATGAGTGCAACTAGTTTTAAATTGGTATAATATCCACATCATGGCTGAACCCCATAAAAAGGCATATAGTTGCTTTCTACACTAGTTGAAGCTACTGGGTTGTCTTAAAGGGTAGTCCTATATAGAGCATGTTTCAGTAATTGGGTCTAGATGATATAGAACCATAAATTAGTTTGGCAGAATCTGGAAGGGAGAATAATTTTGGTGAAAGAAGGTACACTTGGCAACAATGCCAACCTGCTTTTCCAACATGGTTCAGTTCAAGAACACCGCAAGCTGTTTATGTGATCCACTAGTGACAGTATTACTCTGTATGCAGTAGGCTTGTCTTGTAAGATCTCCTTCAAAGACCTTTCTCCTGTGGAAGTGAGACTATTGTTGACAGATGATAGGGCTTCCTCAGTGGTGACACCACATTTATCAAATTTACTCTACCATAAGATTCAATTGGAATCTTCCTGGTTTTGAATTTAGGTACCAGGAAGGCCATACTATTTTGTTCTGTTTTTGGTTGTGTTGGCTTATCATCTTGTGACTTCTTAGTGATTGTTTAACTTATGCTGATGCCTATAACATTGTTCTTCCATTGCTATTTTAATGGTTTTAATAGACCAGGGGTATTGAACTCATTTCTTATGAGGGGCAACTTTGACATAAATTGGACTTTGTTGGGCCAGGTCACGTGTGTCATAAAATGTAATGCTAGGTAACAGAGATGTAAACATTATAAAGGACACAGAAAAACACATTTTAAGATATTATAGCAGCTATTCCATTGGAGCCCCACATTAGGGGCTAATATTTCGCTTCAAAACTGAAGTTCCTTGAGTTTGTTTTTTAACTTTGGTTAGTCCCAAAGCTTCCCCACCCCCTAGAAATATAACCAAAAATATAAATGGTCTGAGCCTAGGACTCAGGAGGAGAACATGAAACAGCTGAGCATTGCAAACTTCTCTCTCCCCCCCCCCTCATGTCTATTCAGAGTAGCGGTGGCTCTCCAGGGTCTCGAGGTTTTTTTTACAGGGTTGTTTGAGATAATAATTTTGGGTGTCCTCTTCAGCACGTCTTCTGCTATTATTCCAGTGGACTTTCACATTAGGAGGGAGTATGTGTTAAAACTAATATTTCTCTGCAAAACTGGAGTCCCTTGAGTTTGCAGAACTCTATATTTTAACCCTGGCTGGTCCCAAACCTCCCCACCCCCCAAAATATTACCTATAAATATAAATAGTCTGAGCCTAGGACCCAGGGGAAGAACATGAAAAGGCTGTGCATTGCAAGCTTCTCTCTCCCCCCACCCCCACCCCCTGGTCTACTCAGAGTGGCAGTGGCTCTCCAAGGTCTCGGGTTTTTTTACAGGGTGGCATAAGATAATAATTTTGGGTGTCCTCTTCCGCACTTGTTCTGCTATTATTCCATTGGAGCTCCACATTAGGAGGGGTGTGTGTGTGTGTGTGTGTTAAAACTAGTATTTCTCTGCAAAACTGGAGTCCCTTGAGTTTGCAGAACTCTATATTTTAACCCTGGCTGGTCCCAAACTTCCCCCCTCCCCCATATAAATCCTCTAATCTAAACT